AAGTTTTAAGAATGAATATGTGGTCACTTGTTCTATATCCTTCTCTAAAACCACCATGATTGACACTGAGTAAATCTTTTGACTCTATGAATATGGTCAATCTGTTTTGCAGCAGAGAAGTAAATAATTTATCTAAGCAACGTGTAACACATATACCTCTATCATTTGTCTATAGCTATTACATTGTTAGGATCACCTGATTTAAAAATCTAAGAAATATATGAAAGACTCCATATTTTTGGAAATTTTCCACTTTGTAATATTTTATTAAATAGTTTTACAATAACAAGAACCATAGAAGAGGCACTATATTTAATAAACTCATTCAGAGTCAAATTAGGACCCCCCAGATTTTGGAAATTTAAGCAAATTAAGATCAGTGTTCCCTGCTGCTAGGACTCTGGCATTAACAGGAACAACTACTTCACAGACAATAGTTAAAATCAGAGATTCATTAAATTTATGCAAAGCTAAGATTTTGAAAACAACAGTGGTCAGAAACAATATAAAAACATATATATAGACATAAGAAAAAGCCAACTGACATTACTGGTACTAGTACTGAGTGGTAGTGAAGCTGTTTATGAAAGTGTAATGGCAAAGACCTTCTAATCTGCCTAAGAATTTGAACAAGAACAGGAAAATTATCCAAAGACAATTATCTATATATTCTCAATTGAAGTTTTGTGGTACCTAGGATATTCATCAATAGAAAGGAATGGTGCTCATGAATACCTCAATGGTACTAGGCTTGCTGGCCAGTATTACTCACCATGTACTGATCAGGTTAGTACACATATAAGGATGCATTCAGGCGATTTGAAAATATTATTATAAAAAAAAAATGTGTTTTTGGTAAACTATTGAACTGTAGTGTACTGTTTTTATATACATATATTACAGTATGTACATATATATAACATACATGTATGTATAATGAAAATACTGTAATATAGCAAATGAAAGATGTTTATCATGTTAATTAACATGATTAACCCAATATTTATTTTAAATGTAAATAAAAGGAGATTTGGGTTAAACTTCAGTTAGCATGATTAGTCAGCAACTAAAAATAAAAGAAAAATAAATTGTCTGCGGTCTATATACATTTTGTACATGTATAGTACATTGCAGCTATAACATGTTACATACTGGCGTGCTCTTAGTTTCTTCTGTTAACTATTCTGACATCGGATTCAGACTTCTTTTAAACTGAGTTTTACTGTGCGTATTGCTGTGTGTTTGTTTTTTCTACATTGGCTAGAGGTATAGGTGGAGGGTTGAGATCTCACTAACCATGTTTAACCCCACCACATTTCTGCGCCTGTCCTAAGTCAGGAGCCTCTGGCCTTTGTTAATTGTGTATGTTTTTTTAAATTTTAGTTCATTTATATGTTTTGGAGTTTAGTGTGACGTCCATTTTCACTGAACTAGTACACATTTGTGTTTAAGGGCCAGATGAAGCCCGCCTCCGGGTGCGGGATTTTCTCGCTGTGTTGAAGACCCATTGGTGGCCTTAGGCTGTTTTCTGCTCTTTGGTCGGGTTGTTATCTCTTTGACACATTCCCTATTTCCATTCTCAATTTTATATAAACTTGACCAAATATTTTTTTTTACAAATGTACCTGTAGGAGCTCGAGTTTACTTCCAATTTTAGCATATTAAATACTTTTCTAATTTTTTCCAGATGAAGCAGGATGTTCAGACTGGAATGAGAGAAAACAGTATTAGGCTTCTGTTTGTCACTGAAGCATATAGTATGGGCACAGACTCACCAGATATCAGGCAAATAATACACTTTGGAGTGCCATATACATTGGAAAGTAAGTAGTCTAATCAGTCCCAAAATGGATGATACAATTATGTGTACATTTTGTGCATTGTATTAAATTACATAACTCTCTTAAATACATTGGTTTGACTTTGTAATGTACATGTATGTACATGTTTTCATTAAAGATACATGTAACTAATTTATTTTCAATGTTTTCCAAATATTGATGGGATTTGCAATTTTGAACTCATTGTGTCATTGGTTGTGAAATATTATACATTATATCTTTGATAGAAGAATATGGGGCAATTGTCCAGTAGATCATAACTGTACTTAAAAAGTTCATTCAAAAGGGCGAGAAAGACCCTCAGAACATTAGAATATGGAATAATGACATCTGATTTGCTAACATTTCATTAAAAAACCCACACCAGACAGAATCAACAACGAAAAAAACTCACTTACAGGACTAAATCAGACATACAACAATGCACATGTAGTAAAAACATCCATGTTATTTCTGATTTTCAGGCAGTGTCAATGATTCCTGCTCAGTATACAATCAGTTGCGCATCCAGGGCCTATGCCCCCTCCCCCTTTTTGATCACCATTAAAGAAAAATCTATGTTTTTCTTAATATATTAATATATAAATTTTTAGTATAAAATTGTCCAAAAATTATATATATTCAATTATCAAGAATTTCGTCCTCCCTTTCAAAAATCCTGGATCCACCCCTGGCAATTAAGCAATTGAGGTATGGGTGCCAATGAGACCACTGTCTATTGTGACCAGACAAAATTATGTGGATGCAGCAACACTAGGTCACTGTAGGGCTTTCAACAATGAGCAAAATCCATAATTTTGTATACATTTATAGTAATCTGTAAACATCATACATGTTTTACTGTGAGTACATGATAATTACTTTTGTCTGCAGCCACAACCTAGCTGGTCATTTGCATTTGTGAATGTTGTTCTGATATGTAAATTTCAACACTAAAATAAACATATGTAGTTAATGAAGATTACTTATTATGTTTTCTTTATTTAAGCTTATCTACAAGAGATTGGTCGAGCTGGGCGAGACGGGGAACATTCTTTTGCTTAACTTTTTTTCAACAAGAAGGATATTGCAACAAACACCTTGCGAGATTTCATCAATACAAATGAATGTCGATTGATATTCATCAGTAGACACAAAAGTGATGACTTTGAAATACGTTTGATCCATATCATTTCCATTACCAGAAATAATCTATTACTATACCCTGATTTCTCACGTCATTTACACATTTTAGGGGCTGACTGGATCCCTGCATATTTGAACTGATAAAGTAATTGTGACTGCTTGACATTTTTCAAACACCGGTCTTTATTCTTATGTACATAATCAAACCCTGCCTAAAGAAATATAATAATTTTATCATTTAAAAACAGTTATCAAAGCAATCATAAGGAAGTTATCCCCATTAGAATATTCATCCTTTAGCTCAACGTACTGACGTAGATTCTATGCCCGACAAACGCACAAATGACGTCAAATAACGTCACCTAAAACCAAACACAAAAACGGAAAGATAACGATTGGAATCATGGGTATTGTAAATGACCATAACTGTTGTGATAACTGTGCTTTACCATGTAAATGTGAAATCTGTGAAACTAAGGACAAGGATGATAAAAAAACCTATCATGTAAAATAAATAAGCAGAAATCAGGAAGTAATGATTAACTTTTTAAGGATCTGTGGAAATAATGTTTTATTTTTTCTGGAATTTGGGATGGCATCCCTCTTACTGCCCCTCCAACATGTAAACATTTTCCTGTGCCAGTTAAATTTCTGGCCGTTCATCTTTGTTAAACAACTTTATATGCCTATCTATTAGATTTATTTGAAACTTGTTAACTGAATATTTATGAAAGTTCAGAAACACTTGCCATTGAACAGTCAAGGGTGTAATTAATTAAATAAGTTATCAGAGAAAAATAACATACATGTCGTTATTGTGGGCTAAAATATCAAAAAACTATGATAACATATGTATGTTACATGTTTCAAAGAGGCAATATACATCCTTTACTTTGTTAAATTGTATACAAGTTCTATTGGTATTATTATTGTCTTTATGTATACTAAACTTTAGAAAGATATAACAGTTCATAGTTTGCCAATCATGTATAGTACACCTATGTTATTACAGAAAATATATGCCTGTAATAACTAAAGGGTGTTATTACAGATCTCTACATCTCTTCAAAGCCATTTCTCAGACATATATCATAATGTATATTAATTTATTGTAAGAAATAATGATCAAAGCATGCAATGAGGTTCTGCCCAAGATTCCAAGTAATTCCCAAGTGTCTCATTTTATAAGTTACATGCCTGTAATAACTAAGCCTTAGTATATCCCTTAAAAGCCTTGTCTCATTGATTTACCATGGCTGATCAAAAATGTATTAATTGAATTGGAAAATTAATTATCAAGGTTATGTATTAAGTTTCTGCGCAAAGTTTCAAGAAATCCCAAGAGCCCACTAAAAATAAAAATATTTTTGATATATCAACTAATAACAAACATATGTTACTACATATTAAGGAAGAAAGAGCAGACAACTCATGAAAGTATCTGTAATAACACATGTATGTTATTTTTCTCTAATAACATGAATAACTTATTTAAGTTACACCCTTGACTGTTGAACATGTCAGTAATCATGTCAAATGAATGATACATTTGTACATTATGATAAAAATCTTTTATTCCAATAAAAGGGCCTATTAAGAGCAAAGTAACTTATTAAAATTATTTTCATACATGTATATGATGATCATATACATGTACAACATGTATAAATACAAATGTACATGTATGATAATCATGTGTTAATACATAATCATTTTATTTTATAATATTTCTACACCAGACACAAGCAATGTTACCTATAGTTGCTTACATCCCTGTCATTTGGAATCTGGTGGATATAGTTTTCTTATTGGCAATCATACCACATCTCCTTCAAAATGTCCTTATTTTTACATTATCATACTTATGCCAATAATAGTAAGCTATTAATAAACAAATATAGTTTTTGAGAAGGAAATGGACCACAAAATGCAGAATATGGATTAAAACTAGAAAATATCATACCTTTAAAGCTGTCAAAATTATCTAAAACAAACACTGAAACAGAAGTCAGAAAAATTGTCTGTTTACATGTATGTCATCAAAATTTGCATTTTTGAGATCATTTATAGTGTTTTCAGATATGATATTACAAAGTCTGATTTTTAGGCCAATTTGGGCTCTCCTAATCCTACTCCTTTATTATTTTTTGTTAAAAATTATTACATGATAAAATTTGTATTGAATTTTGAAATTTTAAATAATTTTACCAAAGGACATTAATTGTAGAAAATGCATACATGTACCTATATGGTTCAGTAAAATTCATATCTGCCAACTTTTCAAAATCTCCTTGGTTAATTTTAAGTACAAGATGACCTAATGGCTAATGCTCCTCTTACATTTACATTATATATTGTCATAAGTGTTTTTAATCTACTACTGTATTGTTTGAATGAGTATGTGTGTTCTTAAATTTTGAATGCCTGTTTTTGGGTGTTCAGTTTGCATGATTAAGATTTTCAAAATTTAACCTTAGTTTATCTAAAATTTGTTTGGATTAAAGAACTATTTAGTGACCTCATTTTGAATAAGTGTGTTATCTTAATTTTTGAAATCAATTTTTATTGTTGAATTGTCTTTCAGAAATGCTCTACCAGTATTTGAAGTGCCAGGGCCCAGGTTCCAAACTAGAACATAAGAACCAGTTCTCTAATGTCTGAGGCATTGCACTTTTAATAAGGTCTGGCATTCCACCTAGACCTATACCTGATAATGAGAGAAAACACCAGAAACTATTTCCTAAGGTAATTTTGAATAAAACTAAATGGGATATTATATTTGTTTACACTTTTGACAGAAATTTTTAAAATTTATGTACATGTCCCTTAGCTTATTGAAACTTTTTTATTGAATTTTATATTTAGACTAAAGCCATTGGTTCATTAGTTTAATCGTTAAAAATTGCAACATTGTTACCATATATTATTATAAAGTAAAAATTTCATAATAGATTTATAATATTTATGAAGATAAATATATGATCATGCTTTGAAAAAATTGAGGTTCAGGTACACTTACTACATGTTACACAAAATTTTTCATATGTATAAATGAAAAGAGATGTGGGTATTTGTCAATGAGACAGCAACCCAATGGCAAAAATCTCCAACAGACATCCAGAGGGTAAGGTAGTCTCTGGCTACTTCAAAGGTAGACAGGTGTTTATACAATATGCCAAGCTCTATAAAAGTTAAAAAATTTACTTGTGTCCAGTATAAAATAAATAGTCATGTTATCCTTAGAAGCACCTTCAATTTTGGTATAAGTTTGTATGAATGAATACATTTTAGGCAGTTAAGCTGCCTTATTCTACCACCCTAGATTTGTGTTTCTTCCCACTAAATGGTTTAAAAAGTGCTATTGTTATTATCTAGCTGGCTAATATGTTATTAATAACTAATTGGGCACTTTTTTCATACTTTCAATTCTGGAATACAAAAAATATGACCAGAAAAACCCTAAATGATCGTCGAACTACCCAAAACTTTTGAAGTTGCACATAGGAAGTAGTGCTCAATAGAAATCTGTACGTAGTTTATCATCCCATGTGCTTTTGGCTAAGATGTCAAAGAACAATTGTATGAAATATTTCATCGCCGAAAATCTCTAATTACAAGTCGTTTACATTTCCCAAATGGCCAAAGGCGCAGGAATATTGTTCATGTACACCAAATCTCTATGATAGAGGAAATAAAGTTATATGTAGTAGTCTAAGTTGGCGGTAATTTTAACTCGCACAAAACGTAAGGTAAGTATTCTGATGTTTTAAAGTAAGTTTTGTTAATAATGATGTTCTTTTCGTTGAAGAAGATTGTGATTATTTTATTTATTTCAATTAAATGTATGCACAGTTGTTGTTTTTATGAATGTTGTTTTTTTGAATGAAAAAGATCCGAAAATCGACGTTGATGGAATGTTTTAAGAAATGTGGACAACTCGTCCCTGAGACAAGTCGGACCGAGTCCACTCTGACCATCTTAGAAGACAACTCGAACCGCTTGTCAGATTTACTTAGGGTTTCATAAAATGTTAGACTAACACGTCTAGCGGAGTTATCAATCTTTCGTTTGAGCTTTGGGGTCTATGTAGGGGTATTTTGAGGGGCCTAAATAAGGGAGAGGTTTACTATAGAATCCTATGGGATTTAATTTTTTTCAATTTTCAAATGACTATTACTTGAAAACAGTAAGTGATAGACACACACACAATCTTCAGTAATGATAACAGGACAATAGAACAAATCAAATAAAATATAGGGTGAGTCCCTGGGGGTCAAACCCACCCCCTTCAATTTAAAAATGTGTTCTTATCTTGTAAACAGTCGCAATCCCCACCCCTAAAACCATATATATACTTGTATGGGACAATAAAACAAATCAAATGAAAATAATTTGGGGGAGTCCCAGGTGTCACCCCCACCCCTTCTGTTTGAGAACTTGTAAAAGGTTGAGATCCCCACCCCTAAACCATACATAGTCTTGTATGGTACAATAAAACAAATAAAATGAAATATAGGAGTCCACAGGGGGTCAACCCCACCCCCTCCTGTTTGAGAACTTGTTAACGGTCGATATCCCCACCCCCAAACCATACATATTCTTGTATGGAACAATAAAACAAATCAAATTAAATATAGGGGAGCCCCTGGGGGGTCACCCCATCCTTCCTGTTTGAGAACTTGTTATTGGTTGAGATCCCCACCCCTACACCATATATATTCTTGTATGGGACAATAAAACAAATAAAATAAAATATAGGGGATTAGTCCATGGGGGTCACCCCACCCCTCTTCTTTTTGAAAATTTGCAAACGGTCGAGATCCCCACCCCGAAACTATATGTATTCTTGTATGGGACATTAAAAAACAAATCAAATGAAATAAAGGGAGAGTCCCCTGGGGATCAACCCCCACCTTTTGAGAACTTGAAAACGGTCGAGATCCCCACCCCTAAACTATATATATTCCTGTTTGTCAACTCAAGAATGTTTGAATGACATACAGGGTCAATCTCCTAGGCGTCACATATGCATATCACTTTACTTGACCAAACCAATTTGTACTGGACTCGGCCCAATGTCAGGCGACCATGGGAATGACGAATTATAGGAGCTTTGTTTGGGAGACTTCGTCACAGTATCCTGTTACAATTATTTCTTGTTTATTATAGAATTTAATTGATGCAAGAAATAAGTCTAGGTTGAATTTACTTTAATCATTTTTTGAGTTATTTCTGGGCCTATAAAAATTTTCATTTAAGTCTCATTTTAAAGGAAACATATTTAAGATAAATTAGAAATAACTTTTGAAAATGGTAGGATTGGATAGCGGAAACATTAAGGTACAAACATTTTTTTAACTTAAAATAGCTGAGATAAATTATTAAACCAATTCTTCCACAATATTCATCTTAACTTAAGCTTCTGCCACGTTTGCCTTGGGTTTTTTTAATTAACTGCCTATAGCGCCCTTGGTGCTTTGATTAATATTTTGGAATAAAGTTTTATATTGACATGATTGAATTATCATATTTTTCATTTAGCTCTGCCAAAGTGGGTAAAACTTGCATATTCTTAAGTCAGCATTAAAATTTTTTTTTTAGATTGCTAAATTAAAAATATTAGAAAATACTATAAATTATGAAAATTTGGCTCTGCCAAATGTACTCTAATTAGGTAAAACTTGCATATTCATAACTCAGCATTAAGAGATTTTTTATGCCCCCGCCTTAGCGGAGGAGGTATTAAGTTTTACCCTTGTACGTCTACGTCCCAAAATTGGTTTCCGTTCTCTAACTTTAGTTTGTCTCAACCAAATGTTGTGAAACTTCTACACAATGCTTATTACCACAAAACACAGATCAAGTATGAATTTTGGTGGCATCTCTTTTAATGTTTTAGAGTTGTGCCCCTTTACAAATGGAAAAATTGCTGAATGTTTCGTTTCCGTTCTCTAACTTAAGTTTGCCTCAACCAAATGTTATGAAACTTATACACAATGCTTATTACCACAAAACACAGATCAAGTTTGAATTTTGGTGGCGTCACTTTTACCGTTCTAGAGTTATGCCCTTTACAAATGGAAAAATTGCTGAATTTTTTGTTTCCGTTCTCTAACTTAAGTTTGCCTCAAATAAATGTTATGAAACTTATAAACAATGCTTATTACCACAAAACTGATATCAAGTACAAATTTGGGTAGCGTCACTTTTACAGATCTTGAGTTATGTTCCTTTATAACGTTATATGCAAGCAGGGGCATCATCAGTGTCCCATGGACACATTCCCCATTTTTTTGTGAGATTTCTATATTAAAAATATTAGAAAATACTATGAAATATGAAAACAAGAGATGTATAAAAACTGGAATTGAAATTTTGTTCAATGCCACATGAATGTATGCATTAATTCTTACATAATAGTCAGGATTCTGCTTCGTCAAAATTATCTCCTCATTACGCAAGTTAATTTTTACAATCATATAAATGGAAGTCATTGTAGGGATGACGCGCTGCCAATTTAGCTCTAGAAAACAGATAAATTTATCCACATAGCACCATTACGATCCTTATATGCCAGTTGTTTTTAAAAGACAAATGTATCTACTAGCTATTGATGATCATTTAATGTACTTTTCTGTTCAGTCACATTAAAACTATTGTCTGATTGGTTGTCATATGGAATTTTCGAAAGTTCAAAAACATTTAAAAAAATTCTAATTAAATATTTCGTGGAAGGGCAGACTAAAAATTTCCAGAGGTTGAAGACTAATTACCCTAGATAACACGCACAAAAAATGAAGTTTTTTTTGAAGTTATGCATTTTTAAGATCCAGTTGAAAAGTCTGTCGTCAAGTACTTTTAGTAAAAATTTGTTATTCGAACACACCTACTCTGTTGTAATGACTCATTAGAAAGGTATTTCACCTGACCCATATATTTCATTTTTTAGTACTGTGAATTTTTAATGTTATTAAATCAACCTGTAGCCTAAATATATAAAAATAATAGAATCTGAAGCGAGATGATGTATCAAATATATTTGCTTCATACGTTATCAAGACAGAATTGTCAACTCAAACATGCCCGAACATAAAAAGGTGCATTCAACTTTCTCTTTTCGATGCAATTATTGACCTTTTTTGAGATTTTTTCCCAAAAAATTATCGCCGGGGCAGAGATGCAAATTAATGCTTTAGAAAGATCAATCTATTATCTTTTTGTGGAATTTTTTCAGCGGAATTTATGCTTATGCTCAAAAAAGATCCACTTGGATTTGAACCTGCCACAATCGACTGTTTTATGAAAATCAGTCTATAATTTAAAAGTTTACAAATATTTCGAAGCTCAATACTGTAATTCAAGTAAAAACACGTAGATAAGATGCATAAAATCCTAAATTATGCACCTTTATTAAACTTTAAAAGCCCATAGAAACAGATGTAAACAATTCAAATATACCAAATTTGCTTTTTTACCTTCTCTAACAAAGAGTTCCATTTCTTTTGTTTAATTTCAACTGGGTTCCGCCTGATACAGCATCATTTACCTTTAAAATTATATATATGCTTTTTCTTTCAGGAAAATGTATAAACTAGTGAATTGTTGGTTTAATCTACCAGGATGTAATGTTATCAAGTAATGAACAAAAGAAGTAACATGAAGTTAGACAATACAACTTGAGGTGCTAGATTGTGTGCAATTGTTATTTGGAGATATATAGATGATCATAGATGGATTTTGTCAAAATGTGAACTGTTACACAGGAATTAAATATATTATTTTGTAGAAAAGATCCAGTTGTGTTCCATAATTCCCAAAAATGGTGAATGTAAGAATTAAATTTTCATATCTATTTATTGAGTTTATTGCTGCCCAAAAAGAGGTTATTGCCTCTACTTTACAACATATTTTGTCATAAATTGATTTTATATCTCTTTGTGACAGTTAATATTGATTATTAGGGCCCAGTTGTTGACATGTACCCTATATACATGATATAGTATGTCTGTCAACACTTCTATGTCTTACAATACATTGTAAGTCAAGATTGTCTCAACCGATTTTAAAAATTTATATGCAAAGTGGAAATAAATTTAAAAGGTTCCTTGTGTTTTTTTTTTTTTTAAATTGGGAAAAAATGTGGAAGAAAACTTGGTATTTGTTAAAAAATCACAAATGAGAAAATGTTTTTTGGGCTAAAATTTCCGCAAAAATTGATAAATAAGTTATGATATGCTTTTCAAAATTGATTCCCAATGTTAAATATTGATTATTGCCTTTGCCTGCTACGAGAGACATGGAATGCCAGACATAGGGATTGCTTTTTTGGTGACAGTGACAATGACAACGGTGTCAACAATTGTCAAGTTTTCTGCTTAAGTTTGACCACTATTTTGAGGCCCTGCCCCCTAGGCCATGGTCCAGTGACTTTGAATTAATAAGCAATTTTCAATGTTTAGTTTTCTGCTTAAGCTAGTTTGATAGGATCTACTTGTGGTAGATCAATGATATGTTGTATGAAGTTGCATTACTATCAGTTTGAAGACTATTTCGAGGCCCTGTCCCCTAGGTCATGGTCTAGACACTTTCAATTAATGAGCAATTTCTAATATAAGTGTTCTGCTTTAATCAGTTTGATAAGAACTACTTGTGATAGATCAATGATATTTTGTATAAAGTTGTATTACTACCAGTACATCTCAGTTTGACAACTATTTTGAGGCCCTGTCCCCAAGGACATGGTCCAGTGACTTTGAATTAATTAGCAATTTTCAATGTTAAGCTTTCTGCTTAAGTTAGAATGATAGGAACTACTTACAATAGACAACCATATTGTCTATGAAGTTACATTACTGTCTGTACATCTGAGTTTTTCGACCATTTTTAGGCCCTGCCCACTAGATCATGTTCCAGCGACTGAATTAATAAGCATTGTTGCTGTCCATCATCATTGTCTTTTTCTGAATTTTATGCCAATAGGCTACCATATCTCTGTGTCAACAGTTTATTGTTATAATTTGGGTGATATGCTTTTCAAAATTGATTCCCAATGTTAAATATTGATTTTTGTTATAATTTGGGCTAAAATTTACCATGAAGACTTCTTTTTTTAAAGGCAGTGCCTTAATGCCTGTAATGGTATCAGGCAATAGCCATTTCGTTTCTACGTAGGGGGTCAGTAAATACGTCATCATAAAAATCCCAAAAAGTGGAATTCTTTCTTCTTCTGTTTGTGATATTCTGTGTTTTTTATTGTTATTCTTTGACACTGAGCAGTAAAGAACCGAACAGTGTTTTTAGCTCACCTGGCCTGAAGGGCCAAGTGAGCTTTTCTCATCACTTGGCGTCCGTCGTCGTTAACTTTTTACATTTTGAACTTCTTCTAGAGAACCACTGAATGAAATGAAACCAAACATGGCATGAATGTTCCTTATGAGGTGCTGACCAAGTGTTGTTACTTTGTAGCCGATCCATCATCCAAGATGGTCGCCAGCGGGGGACTTCGTTTAACATAGGACCCTATGGACAATACATACAAATGTCTTCTTTTAGAGAACCACTGAATGGAATGAAACCAAACATGGCATGAATGTTCCTAATGAGGTGCTGGCCAAGTGTTGTTACTTTGTAGCCGATCCATCATCCAAGATGGCCGCCAGTGGGGGACTTGATTTAACATAGGACCCTATGAACAATACATACAAATGTCTTCTTTTAGAGAACCACTGAATGGAATGAAGCAAAACATGGCTTGAATGTTCCTAATGAGGTGCTGACCAAGTGTTGATACTATGAAGCCAATCCATCATCCAAGATGGCCGCCAGAGGGGGACTTAGTTTAACAAAAGACCCTATGGACAATACATACAAATGTTTTCTTTAAGAGAACCACTGAATGGAATGAAACCAAACATGCCATGAATGTTCCTTATGAGGTGCTGACCAAGTGTTGTTACTTTGAAGCCGATCTATCATCCAAGATGGCCGCCAGAGAGGGACTTAGTTTAACAAAGGACCCTATTGACAATACATACAAATGTCTTGTTTTAGAGAACCATTGAATGGAATGAAATAAAACATGTCATGAATGTTCCTTATATCCATCATCCAAGATGGCCGCCAGCGGGGGACTTCGTTTAACATAGGACCCTATGGACAATACATACAAATGTCTTCTTTTAGAGAACCACTGAATTGAATGAAATAAACTTTGTAGCAAGTCAATCAACCAAGATGGCTGCCCACGGGGGACTTAGTTTAACAAAGGACCATATGGGAAATATATACAAATGTCTTCTTCTAGAAAACCGCTTAAAGGATTGAAACCAAACATGGTATGAATGTTTCTTTTGAGGTGCTGACCAAGTGTTGTTACTTTGTAGCTGATTTGTCATTGTCCTTACAAAGTCATTTTCTACAATTTCAATGAATTTATTGGTAATTTCTGTTAATTTTACAAAAGTCTTCTGCTTTTGATTAAATTATGGGGCCAATATTAAACCAAATTTGGACTCAATCATTATTAGGGTATCTGTTATGATTCTAATCTATTTTTACATGATTTCATAAACCAAAGTGGAATCAGGTGAGTGACACAGGCTCTTAGGAGCCTCTAGTTTGTTAGTGTTCAAAGCTTTCGATAGAGTTGCATTTTTCCTTATGAGCAGTCAACCGATTGACGTACCAGAATGACTTAAAAATCCGTTTGAAAGAGTTTGGCTTTATTTCCAGTGGTATTCTAACCTAAAGTAGTTTTTATACGACTGCAAAATATTTTTGCGGTCGTTTATCGGTATGACGTTGGCGTCGACTTCGTCGTCGTCCGAAGACACATTGGTTTTCGCACAATAACTTTAGTTTAAGTGAATGGATCTCTATGAAATTTTACCATAAGGTTCAATACCACAAAAAGAAGGTTGGGATTGATTTTGGGGGTTATGGTCCCAACAGTTTAGGAATTAGGGGCCAAAAAGGGGCCCAAATAAGCATCTTTATAGTTTCATGACAATAACTTGTGGAACAGTGTATGGATCTCTGAAATTATACCACAAGTTTCCATACCACAAAGGGATGGTTAAGATTGGCTTTTGGGGGGGTTATGGCTCAAACCGTTTAGGAATTAGGGCAAAAAAGTACAAATTACAGTGTAAGGGAGGTAATTCAAACACAACTTTGAATTACCTCCCTTACACTGCTTTTAAATTATGTATAAAGAATTTTTGTATTGTCTTGAGGTGATTAGCTGTCAATTCATTTTTAGAAGTTACTATTTTAATAATTTTAAAAATGCTGATTAAGGTAAATTAATTTTAGCTATGATTATGTATGTCATTTTTTATTTTAAGACTTTTATGATGTATTTAAATGGGTTATTATGGTTGCAAACTCCATTGGAAATTTGAATTGAAATTATGACCATGACTGAGGGAAAGAATTTTTTTGGGAAAAAGGGGGGGGGGGGGGGTAAAAAAAATTGGTGGGGTGGGGTGGGGGACAATTTTTTCTTCTTAAGATTTCAGAAATCAAAAAGAAAATCCTTTTTTTAAAAGGGGGGAGGTCAATTCGCAACAGCATAGTGTATTGCACAAAAGCAAAAAATTGAATATAAATTCAAATCATATAACCATTTCTAAGTTCTTTGACTACAGTAATTCTGTGTCAGAAACCTATTATGTGTCAAATATTTAATTACAATCCAAATTCAGACCTGTATCAAGCCCGAATATTGTGTCCATTTTTGCCCCAACTGTTCAGGGTTGGACCTCTGCGGTCGCATCCAGCTGCGCTCAGCGAAGCATTTTATTAAGATAGTTTCAGTCGATGATATAATAATGAAAAGTCAACTGAACTAAGCCTAGTCGCCACATGTCAATAATAATTCAGCTTTCTCGGAAATCCTTATATTTTTCTTTTTCTCATCAGAACATTTGGTACGTCGAATTTCTGAAATATGCCTAGACTATCAATATCCATCAGGAATTTATCTGAATAACCACATATAATGAAAACCAAATTTGGCACATTAATATTTAATTGCACTTTTTTGAGTATAAATAAAAAACAATTTGTTTCTCGAAAAAGTCAATTCTAAGTTGCTCTGTAGCCGGTAAAATTTTAATTTAAAAAATATTAGTGCATTTTAATATACTCATGCAATAATATGTTCTTTGGAAATACAACGTAGCATTACCATTTCCGTGCCATAATAATTGAAAAATGTCTAAATATCTGATAGTGTTACCCTTTCCTGAAAAGTAATAATATGTTTGATTATGATCAATCTGGAGTATAAAATCACAAGAGATGTAGGTAACTGCTTTTACAGCGCATTCGCACTTTGATTGTTGTTTGTGGATGCGAGTCATAGCGTTCATTGGTCAATGTATAGTTTTTCTGGTTTGGTCTGTTTCTCATGTACTATAAGCGATAGGGCCACTAAACTTTATGTATGCAATGATTCTAACGTGTCTGTTTGGTATGGTTCATCTGACCTTAACCTCATTTTCATGGTGTATGTGATACTTGTAGTAAAACCTTCATATTACAGACTTTCAACATAAATTCAACCAAAAAATCTAGATCTCTGTGTAAATAAACTCATCATAGATACCAGGATTAAATTTTGTATTTACGCCAGACGCGCGTTTCGTCTACAAAAGACTCATCAGTGACGCTCGAATCCAAACAAGTTAAAAAGGCCAAAAAAAGCACGAAGTTGAAGAGCATTGAGGACCAAAATTCCTAAAAGTTTTGTCAAATACAGCTAAGGTAATCTATTCCTGAGGTAGAAAAGCCTTAGTATTTCAAAATTTCAAAAGTTTTGTAAACAGTTAATTTATAAATATGACCATA